TCCGCATCCCTCCCCCGCCGCTGGCGTCCGTGGACCTGGACGAGGACTTTGCTTTCACAGAGCCATTGCCACCCCCCCTGGAGTTTGCCAATAGTTTTGACATCCCCGACGACCGCATCGCTTCTGTCCCCGCCCTCACGGGCTTGGCCCAGCAGGACAGAAACGACGCCTCCTGCCTGCCTGCCCCGCTCCTGCCGCCCCCCGAGAGCTTTGACACGGTCACGGACTCGGGCATCGAGGAGGCCGACAGCCGCAGCGGCAGTGACCACCCCCTCGAGACCACCAGCACCGTCTCCACCGTGTCCAGCATCTCCACGCTGTCCTCCGAGGGTGGCGAGAGCGTGGACACCTGCACGGTCTACGCGGACGGGCAGGCGTTTGTGCTGGACAAGCCCCCCGTCCCTCCCAAGCCCAAAGTGAAGCCCGTTGCCCACAAAAGCAACGTGCTTTACCAGGACACGCTGGCGGAAGAGGACTCGGACGGCTTCATCCCCCCGCCTGCACCCCCACCCCCACCCGGCGGGGTCCAGCCCGGGGCCGTGAAGGGGATCCAGCCAAGGACCTCCAAGTTGTGGGGTGACGTCTCGGAGGTCAGAAGCCCCATCCTCTCCGGCCCGAAGGCGAACGTGATCAGCGAGTTGAACTCAATCCTGCAGCAAATGAACCGAGAGAAACTGGCCAAGCCGGGCGAAGGCATGGACGCGCCCACAGGGACCAAGCCGGCCGGCCTCGCTCCCAGGTAAGTCCCACAGGCACTCCGACAGACGCAGCTCTGCAGCCGGGCTCCCTCGCCCTCATCCAGGCGACGCGGCGTGAAGAGGGCTCAGGAAGCCTGTCTCTCGTTCTCCTGGACTCGGGCGCATGCGGCCGAGCACAGACCCCACCCTCCTGGCAGGAGGGCGCTCCGATTGCAGGCTCATAACCCCGTGCGCCTGCTCCGCGCAAAGCCAACGCGTGGCTTCCCTAGCATTCTGCTCGCTCCCGTCGAGTCCCCATCTCCACCAGGACCGTCCAGAGGCCATCCTGGAGCCTCGCAGAAGCCCACCGAGTTGACGGAGATGTAGGGGTGCCAGCAGGAATGGGGATGGGGCGGGGGGAAGGGGGGAAGGGGGACAGACGGGTGTGCGTGGTTGACGGAGAAGGGGTGCCAGCAGGAAGAAGGAGGGGGCGGGGGGAAGGGGGGAAGGGGGACAGACGGGTGTGCGTGGTCCTCTCCCTCCTCCCATCGCTCGCTGGCTGAGGGCTGGGGAGGGGCCGGGCAGGGAAGTCAGAGTGAAAGGCACCCCCGCCCATCCCCCCATCAGGCCGACCTCGTGGAGGCAAAGTGTCCACTTGTCCCGGTCAACCACTCGCAGGGTCGCGCGGGTTAAAGTTGTGCCGTGGGAACTGGGTGTAGAGGACGAGGGGTCCTTTCCACATCCGGTCAGCAGACCCTGCCAAGGCGCCTGCCCCAGAACAGCCCCTCGGCTGCCTGCAGCTTCCGGGTTGTTCTCAGGGGAGCAGCGCCCCGGTCGGTCCTCCAGGTTCCCGGCCGTCTTCCCCGCGGCACACGCCGTTTCACGGTCCCTGGGCTGCGGCGTTGTCTCTCCAGCTGGTGTGTGCGCTCAGGTACATCACGCTGACTGACGCAGTCTCTCTTCGCACCCCTGCTGGGCGGCATTCCAGGCCAACAGCGAAAGCCAAGGCCATGAATCAGGGCGTCGCGCCACCGCTGGGTCTGGAGGTGCAGGCCGAGCGCCCCAACTCCCGGCGCTCTTCTGGGTGGGGGTGAGGCAGCTCCTCCATGGCTCCCAGGACTCTCGGGGGCGTGTGGACTGGCCGGCTCGGCGGAGGGACGCTCGCCCACACGCCACCTCCCGGTGGGACAGCTGCTGCTAACTGTGCCGCCAGCAGTGCCGCCTGGGAGAGGAGATGTCAATGTCCCCGTCTCTGGTGGGTGACGTACACACATACCTGCAACCGTCATGCACGCAGAAGTCGAAGGAAATCCTAAAAGCTGGCGAGTGTAGCTAGTCCCTTCTCGTTACGCAGCAGCAGTTCTTTGGTGGCTACAACATGAAGGTGCAATTAAGACGCTTTAAGTGTTTCCCGCGTCACAACGGGCGTTCACACAGGACTGATCTTCCTGGGAGCTGGGCGCAGGGGCCGCTATTCCACACCCGGGTCCGGAAAGGCCTGGGTGTCACTGTCGGATTCCAAAGAAATAACCGGAGGACTGGCTGCGAAGGACAATTCAGTGGGACTGAGGCACCCACGGCCGGCCTGGCGGTCTCCGCCATGCAGGCTCTCCGGATACAGTTACACAGAGCACAGGAAACCGCGAACGCACGCAGAGTGGGCGTGCTCACGCCAAGGCCGGGAGAGCAGGATGCCGCTGTGTACAGTCCGCGCTCACATCCGACAACAGTTCCTTGTTGGCGGTTCCTTGACCGGAGAGTTGGCCAGGCTCCCAGGGCCCCGCAGCGCACTTACCACGGCCTTCACCATATTCCCGCAGGGTGTGTGTGTGTGGGGGGGGGGTGCTGGGGCTGGGAGGGGCCCGTGGCCCCACAAACCACACCCCTTGTTCCAGGAGACGTGGAGCCACAGAAGCCACGTGGCTTGTCCATGTGCGTGGCCAGCAGGAGGCAGAGCCAGGACTCAGGCAAAGGCCTCCTGACCGGGCTTCCCTCATTAGCGACATTTGAATATGCAGATGCGGACGGGGTGGCTCCGTGGCTGAGCCAGTTCCCCGGAGCAGGGGTCCAGGGCCTATCCCAGGGCTTCTGGGTCTCTCTCCATCTCTGCTCCTTCCCCGAGTGGACGGGCTCTGGGCCATGGAGGGTCTCCGAGCGGCACGGGAGTCGGGGTCCTGCCTGCGGTCCCAGGTCCTGTCTGATTTCCTGAGAGCAGCCGTAGGACCACCTCCGACCGCCACCTCTGGTCCGTCCTGTCACTTGTAAGCAGGCTCACCTACAGCAGGAGCAGCAGCTGGCCTCTGGGAGGGCCCACCCGACGCTGGGCATCGTGCTCAGGGCGCCCGCGGCAGGCAGGGCCGGTGACTGCGGAGGAGCAGGCTGCAGGTCAGAGGGCGGAGGCCCTCAGCCCAGTGCTCTGCTGGAAGGA